GATCACAACACAACCCGAGTGCATTCAGACTCTGGGTATTCCTCGTGTCTTCAGGGCCATCGGGGTTAATAACACTCAATCTGCATAATACACAACAACCCAGCAGCACCGCGGGTCTCTAAGGCCGAGATCGGCACAGACGAGCAGGCCGGCTAATCATCGGTTTTAACGGCATCGTTGGCCACGAGAATGACTGAAGAAGAGCGGAGAAAAAGCAGAGCAGGGTGAGGTAGTTTATTATCCAGTGTGGCCAGGTTTCTGACTAAAGGCACGTCTGTGAGAGGGCGACGATCAAATATTTAACAGCTCTTATAGCGGACATCCTTCGTCCTGCAGGGCAGACGTTCAGAGGACAGAGCTCTGCTCTTCTTTCTCTCTGAGGTTTCCAACATTAAATCGTTTAAAAAAACGACTCGACATCCACGAGACTGCAGATGTATAAAATATGGACGCAGAGCTTTTTACAGGTTCTCATTCCTCCCACCAGAATTAAGCTGATGAGAAGCAGCCAGGTGCTAATAATGAAACTCACCTGATTGGCTGATCCTCATCAGTGTGAGCACATCTGTAGAGCTGAGGTTTCTGATGTTTGCAGGTCTGGAGCGTTCAGGTGTGTTAACAGCGACGCAGTCGTCCCAGGAGTGGAAGTCGCAGCAACTGCAGCCCAAGCAAAAACCCAGGAGCTCCATCTGAGACTCAGTCAAAGGTCAAAGTTCATGAGAGCACAGAAACAGCCTGAACAAGTACAGCTGCAGGAGGAAACGTCCTCAACATGGCGCCAAAGTTTAACTTTGCAAAGCTGCATCTGAACAAAACAAAGACTTCTGGAACAGGCGAGGTTGAAGCGGACATGTTTGTCCTCAGACCAGCTGGCAGCATGGCGGTGCAGCGACGATGGTTCGGGCTCCTCGCGGTCACCGAGTGGACCATGAACTCTTCAGAGGTCGCTCATATTGTACCGTCGTTACTTTGCAGTATGAAGAATACGAGAATTAAAACAAGTTAAAAAGCCTGCCGCAAACGAGTGTTCAGCTCATTATTACAAACTTTATGTTTAACATCCACGTCTACAAGAGGAGCAGCACATACGTGGCAGGAAGTGAGGAAAAGCAGAAGTTTACTTCAAGTTTTGGATTTTCAAAGTTTTCTTTGGATCAAAGTCCAGGAAACAGACGAGAAAGTAAACAAGGAAGCAAAAGCTCTTTA